TTTGGTTCCATATATAATATATATATATATATATATATATATATATATATATATATATATATATATATATATATATATATATATATATATATATATATATATATATATATATATATATATATATATATATATATTTGTGGTCATATCAGCTTGTCAAAAGTCTGATCCCGTCAGATCTCAGAAGCTCCGCAGGTCCGGGTCTGGTCTGGGTCTGGATTTGGATGGAGACACTGGGAAAATCAGGAGCCACAGGAGGCACCAGTTGTAAAAAAAAACTGTCACTGTGTCCTTAGGCAAGACACTTCACCCTCATTGCCCTGTATGAAAGTGGTGTGTGATGGTGATGGTCGGAGGGACCGATGGTGCAGATTGGCAGCCTCACTTCCATCAGTCTGCCCCAGGACAGCTGTGGCTACAGTAGTAGTTTACACCACTGGGTCTGGAGTGAATGAATAATGATCCTCAGTTTGTCTTCGCTCCTTTTCGCCTTCTTCTCTTCTTCTTTCATCGACCTCAAAAACCGACTTTCTTTTGCGGTGATCTGCTCGTGGATTCTCGTCGGCCGTCGCAACAAACTTTGTGCGAACTGCGAGGAAGCGACAGTGTAAAAAAAAGCCTCTAAAAACCGCTGCATAAACCACATAATCCCCGCGCGTGGGGAGTTTGATTGACAACCTAACAGCCAATAGCAAATGAGGCAGCCTCGTTTTCTATTGGCTGATGTTTATCTGGCCTCACTACGTCCACAGTTGATAGATTTTCATTCTTTTTTTTTTTTTTTGGTCATCATAATTACAAAGCTGCTGCGTCTCTGTAATGGTATTTTAAACTTTCACTGACAATTTGAAACAAAAAAAAAAATAATAATAATCTTCCGTACAACCTTTAATGCAGCTTGAACTCCTCTGAAACGTCTCCATTTTCTTCCACATTTCTTCCTAAATCATGTTTTGGAGCTAAAACCTGACGCAGGTTCTAATCGAGGTGATCTGGAACTTTAATTTTTTACCAGGCTTTGATGAACCACCATAAAAAACGTATTATTTATTATTATTATATTTGAACGTAGCGGCTCTGTCCATTTATATTTAGAGTTTTATATTTAGAGTTTTGTGTTTAGAGTTTTGTGTTTCCAGAGTGAGAGGCGTTGGAGTGCAGACATATTGAAAGTGAAGCGTGAGGATAAACGGGCCTGAGCTCGGGGCTTCTTCAGTTTCGCTGTCAGTTGACTCAGTCTGAAGCGCAGTGATCCACTCTGACGCTCTGACGCTCACCGACTCTTCAGCTCTTACATAACACACATGTGAAGTGTACAGTGCTGCTCCGAGTTTGAGACGTGTGTGTGTGTGATACGTGTGTGTGTGTGTGTGATACAGAGAGTGTGTGTGTGTGTGTGTGTGTGTGTGTGATACAGAGTGTGTGTGTGTGTGTGTGATACAGAGTGTGTGTGTGTGTGTGTGTGATACGTGCGTGCGCGCGGTGGTGCTCAGAGTGTGTGTGTGTGTGTGTGTGTGTGTGTGTGTGTGTGTGTGTGTCTGGGGCTCAGAGTGTGTGTGTGTGCGACAATCTGTAGCCAGGACTTAAACCAGGACTAAACCACCAGGACTAAACCAGGACTAAACCACCAGGACTAAACCACCAGGACTAAACCAGGACTAACACCAGGACTAAAACCAGGACTAAACCACCAGGACTAAACCAGGACTAAACCACCAGGACTAAACCAGGACTAAACCACCAGGACTAAACCACCAGGACTAAACCACCAGGACTAAACCAGGACTAAACCACCAGGACTAAACCACCAGGACTAAACCACCAGGACTAAACCACCAGGACTAAACCAGGACTAAACCAGGACTACACCAGGACTAAACCACCAGGACTAAACCACCAGGACTAAACCACCAGGACTAAACCACCAGGACTAAACCAGGCCTACACCAGGACTAAACCACCAGGACTAATGTTGTCAAGGAGGCCGCCGTAACGATAAAGCGCCGGGGGAAACTCTGATTTAGAGTTTATTGATTTGGAGTTTATTGATTTAGAGTTTATTGATTTAGAGTTTATTGGAGCGTTTGTTAAACTTGTTCTGTTCTGTTGTTTCTCTGAAGAACTGTGAGATATTTGACATTAACAGTTTGTTCTTTTCTCTTCTGTTGTTTTTACTAAATTTACCCCCAAAAATTCATTTTTTTTCCTTCATTTTACATTTTTTGGCTGGTACGACTTATACTCCAGAAAATACGGTAATAAATTTAAAGTTTTGAGCATCAAATATTAAATAGAGTCTGAAATGTTCTGAAATATCATAATAATATTTAATATACAGACGATTTTAAGGAATGTACATCATAATCCTGTTTATTTATGGAGACCTGGTTTAGACCTGGTTTAGTCCTGGTTTAGTCCTGGTTTAGTCCTGGTTCAGACCTGGTTTAGTCCTGGTTCAGACCTGGTTCAGACCTGGTTCAGACCTGGTTCAGTCCTGGTTCAGACCTGGTTCAGACCTGGTTTATTCCTGGTTTAGACCTGGTTCAGACCTGGTTCAGACCTGGTTCAGACCTGGTTCAGACCTGGTTTAGTCCTGGTTCAGACCTGGTTTAGTCCTGGTTCAGACCTGGTTCAGTCCTGGTTCAGTCCTGGTTCAGACCTGGTTTAGTCCTGGTTCAGACCTGGTTTAGTCCTGGTTCAGACCTGGTTCAGACCTGGTTTAGTCCTGGTTTAGACCTGGTTTAGTCCTGGTTCAGACCTGGTTTATTCCTGGTTCAGACCTGGTTTAGACCTGGTTCAGACCTGGTTTAGTCCTGGTTCAGACCTGGTTTAGACCTGGTTTAGACCTGGTTCAGACCTGGTTCAGACCTGGTTCAGACCTGGTTCAGACCTGGTTTAGTCCTGGTTCAGACCTGGTTTAGACCTGGTTTAGACCTGGTTCAGACCTGGTTCAGTCCTGGTTTAGTCCTGGTTCAGACCTGGTTCAGACCTGGTTTAGACCTGGTTTAGACCTGGTTCAGACCTGGTTCAGTCCTGGTTTAGTCCTGGTTCAGACCTGGTTCAGACCTGGTTCAGACCTGGTTTAGTCCTGGTTCAGACCTGGTTTAGTCCTGGTTCAGACCTGGTTCAGACCTGGTTCAGACCTGGTTCAGACCTGGTTCAGTCCTGGTTCAGACCTGGTTCAGACCTGGTTTAGTCCTGGTTTAGACCTGGTTTAGTCCTGGTTCAGACCTGGTTTAGTCCTGGTTCAGACCTGGTTCAGACCTGGTTCAGACCTGGTTCAGACCTGGTTTAGACCTGGTTCAGACCTGGTTCAGACCTGGTTTAGACCTGGTTTAGTCCTGGTTCAGACCTGGTTCAGACCTGGTTTAGTCCTGGTTTAGACCTGGTTCAGACCTGGTTCAGACCTGGTTTAGACCTGGTTTAGTCCTGGTTCAGACCTGGTTCAGACCTGGTTTAGTCCTGGTTTAGACCTGGTTTAGACCTGGTTCAGACCTGGTTTAGACCTGGTTCAGACCTGGTTCAGACCTGGTTTAGACCTGGTTTAGTCCTGGTTCAGACCTGGTTCAGACCTGGTTTAGTCCTGGTTTAGACCTGGTTTAGTCCTGGTTCAGACCTGGTTTAGTCCTGGTTTAGACCTGGTTTAGACCTGGTTCAGACCTGGTTTAGTCCTGGTTTAGACCTGGTTTAGTCCTGGTTTAGTCCTGGTTTAGTCCTGGTTTAGACCTGGTTCAGACCTGGTTCAGACCTGGTTTAGTCCTGGTTTAGTCCTGGTTTAGTCCTGGTTTAGTCCTGGTTTAGACCTGGTTCAGACCTGGTTCAGACCTGGTTTAGTCCTGGTTCAGACCTGGTTCAGACCTGGTTCAGACCTGGTTTAGACCTGGTTCAGACCTGGTTTAGTCCTGGTTTAGACCTGGTTTAGTCCTGGTTTAGTCCTGGTTTAGACCTGGTTCAGACCTGGTTTAGACCTGGTTTAGACCTGGTTCAGACCTGGTTTAGACCTGGTTCAGACCTGGTTCAGACCTGGTTCAGACCTGGTTTAGTCCTGGTTTAGTCCTGGTTCAGACCTGGTTCAGACCTGGTTCAGACCTGGTTTACCTGGTTCCTGGTTTAGTCCTGGTTTAGTCCTGGTTCAGACCTGGTTCAGACCTGGTTCAGAACCTGGTTTAGACCTGGTTCAGACCTGGTTCAGACCTGGTTCAGACCTGGTTTCAGACCTGGTTCAGACCTGGTTTACCTGGTTCCTGGTTTAGACCTGGTTTAGTCCTGGTTTAGTCCTGGTTTAGACCTGGTTCAGACCTGGTTTAGACCTGGTTTAGACCTGGTTCAGACCTGGTTTAGACCTGGTTCAGACCTGGTTCAGACCTGGTTCAGACCTGGTTCAGACCTGGTTTAGTCCTGGTTTAGTCCTGGTTCAGACCTGGTTCAGACCTGGTTCAGACCTGGTTTAGTCCTGGTTCAGACCTGGTTTAGACCTGGTTTAGACCTGGTTCAGACCTGGTTCAGACCTGGTTTAGTCCTGGTTCAGACCTGGTTCAGACCTGGTTTAGTCCTGGTTTAGACCTGGTTTAGACCTGGTTCAGACCTGGTTCAGACCTGGTTTAGTCCTGGTTTAGTCCTGGTTCAGACCTGGTTCAGACCTGGTTCAGACCTGGTTTAGTCCTGGTTCAGACCTGGTTTAGTCCTGGTTTAGTCCTGGTTTACTCCTGGTTTAGACCTGGTTCAGACCTGGTTCAGACCTGGTTTAGTCCTGGTTTAGACCTGGTTCAGACCTGGTTCAGACCTGGTTTAGACCTGGTTCAGACCTGGTTCAGACCTGGTTCAGACCTGGTTCAGACCTGGTTTAGACCTGGTTCAGACCTGGTTCAGACCTGGTTTAGACCTGTTTCAGACCTGGTTCAGACCTGGTTTAGACCTGGTTTAGTCCTGGTTCAGACCTGGTTCAGACCTGGTTCAGACCTGGTTCAGACCTGGTTTAGACCTGGTTTCTGGTTGTGTTTCAGACAGCAGTGTGCTCCAGGTCGTGGACGGGGCCCTTCTGGACTGTGTCGTCAGGGGCCACTCGGCTCTGGCCCCGGCGCTGCACCTGCTCCCGGAGAACGTGCTCCTGAGCGGCGACGAGGGGCTCCCCGGGCTCCTGGCGGCCCCTGCAGGTAAATCAATGAAAACACTCTGTTCCACCTTGTGATGTCATCATGTGGTGCTACAGGAAGAGCTCCACTGTGTTTTTAAACTCCACACACCTTCACTAGATCATTTGGATCATTTCAGTCCTGGACTTGTTGATCTCTACTGAACTAAAGTTAAAAGGAGCTGTTGAAAACTACCACCTCATGACATCACAAGGTGGAGCAGAGCGTTTTGAGCTTTGCAGATGTAGACAGACTCATAATAAAAAAGAGTGACTCAAACATGTGAATGAAACAAACACAACTCCAGTTCAGATATATTTTTTAAGAAAGCAGAAACGTGAGCACTGTCTTCTGTCTGCATCAAATGATAGAACACTTTATTGTTCTAGAATCAGGAGGTGTGGTGTTGGCATGCTAGTTGTTATCATCTCTGGTCTGTGAGAGTCGTGTAAAAGCTCTGATAAACTCATCGTGATTTCGACTTGGTTTCGTCCTCGTTTAGTCCTGGTTTAGTCCTGGTTCAGACTTGGTTTAGTCCTGGTTTAGTCCTGGTTCAGACCTGGTTCAGACTTGGTTTAGATCAGGTTTAGACCTGGTTTAAAACTTGTTTAGACCTGGTTTGCACCTGGTTTAGTCCTGTTTTAGTCCCGGTTTAGTACTGGTTTAGACTTGGTTTAGATCTAGTTTGACCTGGTTCAGACCTGGTTTAGGCTTAGTTTTCAATCTGGTTTATTCCTGGTTTAGTCCTGATTTAGACCTGCTTTGGACCTGGTTTAGTTCTGGTTATCATGTTTTTAAGACAGTAAAAATCAGTTACTCTTGAACTTTTCTTTTCTAACATTAAAAATAAAAGTGACAAATTAAATAAAGACAAGTGTACAAAAATTTACTTAATTTTCTCAGTCATTTGTGTGAAACGACACAGACAGAAACACTCCACTCCAACAATCCAGAGATCTGAGTCCGGTCCACATCTGTCCACATCCGTCCACACTTCTCCACACCTGTCCACACTTGTCCACTCCGTCCACACCTGTCCACACTTGTCCACATCTGTCCACACTTGTCCACACTTGTCCACACTTGTCCACATCTGTCCACACTCGTCCACATCTGTCCACACTCGTCCACATCTGTCCACACTTGTCCACATCTGTCCACACTCGTCCACACCTGTCCACACTCGTCCACATCCGTCCACACTCGTCCACACCTGTCCACACTCGTCCACATCCGTCCACACTCGTCCACATCCTGTCCACACTCGTCCACATCCGTCCACACTTGTCCACATCTGTCCACACTTGTCCACACCTGTCCACACTTGTCCACATGTCCACACTTGTCCACATCCGTCCACACTTGTCCACATCCGTCCACACTTGTCCACACTTGTCCACATCCGTCCACACTTGTCCACACTTGTCCACATCTGTCCACACTTGTCCACATCTGTCCACACTTGTCCACACTTGTCCACATCTGTCCACACTTGTCCACATCCTGTCCACACTTGTCCACATCTGTCCACACTTGTCCACATCTTGTCCACACTTGTCCACACTTGTCCACACTTGTCCACACTTGTCCACATCTGTCCACATCTGTCCACACTTGTCCACACTTGTCCACACTTGTCCACACTTGTCCACATCCGTCCACACTTGTCCACACTTGTCCACATCTGTCCACACTCGTCCACACCGTCCACACTTGTCCACATCTGTCCACACTTGTCCACATCCGTCCACACTTGTCCACACTTGTCCACACTTGTCCACACTTGTCCACATCTGTCCACATCTGTCCACACTTGTCCACATCTGTCCACACTTGTCCACATCCGTCCACATCTGTCCACACTTGTCCACATCAGTCCACACTTGTCCACATCCGTCCACACTTGTCCACACTTGTCCACACTTGTCCACACTTGTCACATCTGCCACACTTGTCCACATCCGTCCACACTTGTCCACACTTGTCCACACTTGTCCACACTTGTCCACACTTGTCCTCTTGTATCTGAACAGAGCCTCTCATAAACTTGTGTATTAGTTCTGGGTTCCAGTCAAACAAATGTTCCTAATTTGCAGTAAACTTGACTGAAAATGTCCGGGAGCTGTAGACGGTCCTATTAAAGCTGCATGTAAAACAGGTTAGGAGCAAATAAAGTGGATTTAGTGTGTGGTCCCGCTTTAAGGCGCCCAAAAAACACAGTAAAAAAAAAAAAAAAAAAACTTTAAAAATGTGAAAAACAGAACCGGTCCATTTAAAACCGTCTGCAGAGTCCAAACTTTCCTCATGTATTTGGAACATTATGATTATGAGGTTATAAGAACTTTTCATGACTTGGTTCAGTCCTGCTTTAGTCCTGGTTTAGATCTGGTTTAGACCTGGTTTAGATCTGGTTTAGATCTGGTTTCGAATTGGTTTTGATCTTGTTTAGATCTGGTTTTGTCCTGGTTTAAATCTTGTTTAGATAGACCTGGTTTAGACCTGGTTTAGACCTGATTTAGTCCTGGTTTAGTCCTGGTTTAGACCTGATTTAGTCCTGGTTTAGTCCTGGTTTAGACCTGATTTAGTCCTGGTTTAGATCTGGTTTAGACCTGGTTTATATCTAGTTTAGATAGACCTGGTTTAGACCTGGTTTAGACCTGATTTAGACCTGATTTAGACCTGATTTAGACCTGATTTAGTCCTGGTTTAGACCTGGTTTAGACCTGGTTTAGACCTGGTTTAGATCTGGGTTAGGCCTGGTTTAGGCCTTGTTTAGACCTGAATTAGACCTTGTTTAGACCTGGTTTAGATCTGGGTTAGGCCTGGTTTAGGCCTTGTTTAGACCTGAATTAGACCTTGTTTAGACCTGGTTTAGATCTGGTTTAGGCCTGTTTAGGACTTGTTTAGACCTGGTTTAGGCCTGGTTTAGATCTAGTTTAGACCTGGTTTAGATCTTTTCACAACTTTCTGAGACCAGTGTGGAGTTTTGCAGTGATGGTAAAACTAAGAACAACTAGCAGCCTAACACACACTTCCTGATTACCGGACCATAAGACCATAAGACCACGAGCGTGTTTGTAGATCCCACGTTTTTACTCGATAATCGTCTCTGATGCTCGTGTTTGTTTAAGGAAAGAGAAACGAGGAGGCGTTTATAACCTTACAGCGCTCTGAAGGGGGAGTGACTTAGCGTGGAGCAGGAGGAGGGGGACAGACAGGACACACTGGTCTTATTTGCAATGAAAAAATAAAAATCAGGTGCAGGTCCTTTAATCCCGTGGAGACTTTGCCTTGTCCTTGATGCTGCGTGTTATCTGAGCGTGTGTGTCCTTGTGTTGTTCGTGTTCGGTCTCCAGGGGGCGCTCTGCTGAAGCCCCGCCCCCTGCCCGCCGCCGCCGCCGCCGCCGTCACCCTCAGCGCCCTGAGCCTGTCCCTGGAGCCCGACGTCGACGCCTTCGAGAGGAAACTGCTGGAACGAATCCACGAAGACGGACAGAACACGGTGAGAGACTCAAAAACTACAAGTACATCAGAACTACAAGTACATAAAAACTACAAGTACTCAAAAACTACAAGTACATAAAAACTACAAGTACATCAAAACTACAAGTACATCAAAACTACAAGTACATCAAAACTACAAGTACATCAAAACTACAAGTACATCAAAACTACAAGTACATCAATACTACAAGTACATCAAAACTACAACTACTCAAAAACTACAAATACATAGAAACTACAAGTACACAAAAACTACAGCTACACAAAAACTACAGCTACATAAAAACTACAAGTACACGGAAACTACAAGTACACAAAAACTACAGCTACACGAAAACTACAAGTACACAAAAACTACAAGTACACGGAAACTACAAGTACACAGAAACTACAAGTACACGGAAAGTACAAGTACACAAAAAATACAAGTACACCAAAACTACAAGTACACCAAAACTACAAGTACACAAAAAGTACAAGTACATAAAAAGTACAGCTACACAAAAACTACAAGTACATAAAAACTACAAGTACACAAATACTACAATTACATAAAAACTAAAACTACATAAAAAGTACAAATACACAAAAACTACAGTTTTCTGTCTGTTTTGAGTCTGTTTCACATTTTGAGGGGCTGGATGACGTCATCAAAATAAAAATTATAATTGCACAAATTAAGTCTGGGTTCAGTTCTTTTTGTCTGGGTTAGTTCCTCTGGGTTAGTTCTGGGTTAGTTCAGTCCTCTGGGTTCTGGGTTAGTCCTCTGGGTTAGTTCTAGTTCCTCTGGGTTAGTTCTGTCCAGTTCTGGGGTCTGTCCAGTTCTGGGTCTGTCCGTTAGTTCTGGTCTGTCTGGGTTAGTTCGTTAGTTCTGGGGTTCTGGTTAGTCCTCTTGTTTAGTCCTCAGGGTTAGTTCTGGGTTAGTTCTGGGTTAGTTCTGGGTCTGGGTTAGTTCTGGGTTAGTTCTGGGTTAGTTCTGGGTTAGTTCTGGGTTCTGGGTTAGTTCTGGGTCAGTTCTGGGTCAGTTCTGGGTCAGTTCTGGGTCAGTTCTGGGTTAGTCCCTGGTCTGTCCTCCGCAGACCGATCGCAGGAGCCGAGTCTAACCCACACTCGTCGCACCAGATTAAGTCCAGGTCCATTACGAGGAGAAACGTTCCCTCAGGACAAAAATCCCCCTCATCAAACCTCATCCAATATTCCGGGTTTTGGAAACGAGGATCCTGCGTGTGAAATTACAGCTCGGACAAATTGGACCAACGTGAAGCGAACGAGTTCAGTTTCAGATCCTTGTCTAATAGTCCCACATTAGCGTCGGCTCATTTATTCTTCACGCTCTTCAACGTTCTGTCCAAAAAAAAAGGAAAAGGCCTCGGATAAATTACCTTTTTTTTTTTTTTTTTCAGTGTTTTATTTAAGTTTGTGGTTCAGTGAAGAGAAGTGAACAGTTCTGCAAAACAGAGCCGCTAAATTAGAACAGAGAAAATACCCACGATCTGTGTTTAAAAGACTCGAAGAAGAAGAGCGGATTAAAAGTGTAAAACTCGGGTAAATCTGGTTTTCGTTGGTTTGTTTTGGTCCAAACGTTTCCCTCGTGTCTGTGACTCAAATTAAACTTTAATCTGAGCTTTAATTTCACACGATCTGACCACAAAGAAGTGAAAAAGAAAAGGTCATTTTTGGTTCAGTTTGGGAACAAAACGTAAAGCCATTTGTATTTTTATCAGACCAACAATTTGTTTGAATTTTATACGAACGGGAAAATAAAATAAAAAAAGTGCAAAGTGCTGCTTTGTAAAACTAAAAAGTTAAATCAAATATTCTCAAATAAATATTATTAGTTTTATAATAAGTCTCTTTAAAGTGACGTCTCTGAGTGTCCTCCGTCCTCCAACCTATAACAACCTCTATCTGTCC